AAATAAGTCATACTGAATCTTTATTACTAAATATAGCAATCCGACAAAATCAAAAAGTAAAATTATCAAAGTAGTTTACTAAAGGTATCTAAAACCAATATACTCATCACAATAGAATACTTTTTAAAAGTATAGCAAACTAGTTTAACCACCATAATATAAGGACTATGAAATTAAACTGGAAGAATAAGAGGAAAATTTTTTACTATGATTAAGCGAGAATTACATAAAATACGATAAAGATACTTCTAGCTAGACGGCAAGACAGGTCTTATTGCGTTATTTGAAATCAGGATAGACTCAGATAATTTGCTTGAAGTGAGATTCACTTGGGCATTTTATCCATGAGTAGTTGCGGGATTATATGTAATTCTTGACTAAGCACTCAGTCACCGTAGGTCGCTTAAGGTGGCTTAGCGACTGATAGTTGTGTTTTTTCCATAGTGCAGTGGCCACCATGCATGAAAGAACCCTTTGGAAGATAAGGCTAATGAAAATTCAACGACATGGTGAGGCAAGCTCATGTAATTTTGGTAACGTTGAGGATTGCAATGTCAAACAAATATGTACTTAATCGGCAATTCCAATGAGTTCGAGTAGGGAGATGTGTGGTTTCCCTTGAATGATATATCTGCTCTGGGACCCACTGGTGCCCGTAGTGATGCAGCAGAATGTTAATGCATTCATATCGCTCACGACCCGGAATCGAGTCCCGTTGGAATTGCTGATGATACATATTCGAAGCCGAATCGGCGGTTCACTCTGGAGGAAAAAACCTTATGATAGACAAGGCTAGGTAAAATTCAGTGTCATTATGATGCCTATTCACTTCACTGAGGAAAAACCCCATTAGCAGCTATTAAATTACCTTAAACCATCTAGAATGAGTAAGTTCTTATTCTACTAACGTATGCTTCCAATGAGCAAGGAAGTGAAATTTTATGAAATGATCAAGCTCTCAATTTCATGCCCTTTCCGATAGGGATTATTCAGAGATTGATGTAATCCATGAATAATCTTAAGCACTCTACTCATAAGAGAAGATCTAAGAACGATATCAAGAATGAGTTAGGATGGAGTTCATTAACCTATAATATAATTATAAACTGGGATCTTATAGATATATATGTATTTATTGAGGTGCATGTAGGGTGGAATTAATTCTGGTATTAAAGATGCTATCTATCAGCTGAAAAGGGTTGAAACGAACAGCATAATATATATTAATTAAAAAAGTTACAGTGATGATATTCCCATAATTCCTAGGATATACTATATATATATCCTAATTAAATCACAAGCTCATTAGTTCATATATATGCATATATGTATGTATATTAATGTATTAATGTATATATGGTTGAAAGATTGGAGTGATAACTATGCTACTAGAGGAACAGGCTATATTGGCTTCATGAGGGAAAAGAGACCTAATCACCAATTTTGATATAATTTTAGTATTCATGTCATTAGTGGTATGACTGAGCCGCCATAACTTGCTCACAGCAAAATTCCTTCTGATATCAAATGTTTTATGAACACCCCTGTTATGGATTTTCTATGAATAAAACTTGCTGGCGAGTAGTGCCTAAGCAGACCAATGCGAGGTCTTTATAATACTTGATAGTTGCTTTTTTATATGAAAAAAGCAGACATTAAAACACATTTGCGTCTTGAGGAAAAGGATAAGCTATGAGAAGACAAAATTATGCTTATTCTACTGTAATACCCACTATAAAGATATCCTATGCTATGCTATGAAGTATTGGAATGAAATCGACCCACCTCGACATAGGTTCGTTCGACAATATTTTCAATGTGCACTGGAATAGAGGCATCGGTGCCAATTCCATGACGCTCCATAGCCGTGATGAGCTCAGATTCGGTCATATAATCGGGTGGCCCAGTGACGCCCTCCACGATTGTTGGTTCCCCAGCCAACGGAAGCTTAGAACCTGGACAAAGGGCGGCCTCTGGAAGTTCAGTAGACTCTATGGCTTGCCAGGTTAGGAGGCGAGTAAATCCGGATTCTATAACACAATTAGCCGTAAGTGAAAACATTTCACCGCTAAAATCCTCGCCAACGCGTAAAATGCTTCGTGTAGCTTGATAGCGACAGTCAGGCATCACCTATGAAAGAGGATTTTTTAATGAGATGATAATACGTTTAGCAGATAAAAAGTACTTATAAAGGATAAATAAAAATATATTAAATGAAAATAACTATTTTATGTAGCCATAAATGATAGGCCAATAAAATAAACACTCACAAATTCAATTGAACACCAGACAAATATTTTACAATAACACAAGAGGAAGTCCAATAAATGAGACTAACTATCTCCGAGAGCTAAATACCAAAATGATCAATATAAGATAGTGCTTGTATACAAAAAATTGCTTTTCATCGCATTACTATTGATTTACTGTGACTAAATATTCTGATACGCCAAATAAAGGTTAATTTTGCACTACCGAAGGTTTGAAGAGTAAAAAGCTGCATTTCCATAATAGCGTATATTTTTATTGGAATTAAGGGAAAGTGTTGTTTTAAGTGTAATATATGGCTTCGTATAATCACTGGGGAGAGGAATGGAGCGAAAATATGCTCGAAGATCCATTCTAACCCATAAGTAGATTACGCTGAGCACCCTAAATTTTTAATAGGTCCTATATATGAAAATATTAGTAATAATAATAGTTGTGAGTAGAAGTTATTCCTAAGATTCCTGTAATATAAAAACAATGGCGAATGATTATTTTATTCAGTATCTTGCTGAAAATATCATAAGAGGAGCTAAAAACCAAGTAAATTTAGGAGTTAGGCTAGTTCAGCGAAAGGCGCTAGTCTTAACAGAGAATTATAACATATCAAAATGACATGTGAAGTTAATCCTCTTGATCAATTTTCTGTTCAATCATTGTGCCATCTCTCCTTGCCCTTATTTTTCGTCCATCCCTTTCTCCAAAACCTACATCATATGATACATTCAGTGTCGCTTAGACTGGATTTGGCGAATCGTAGTCACCTAGACCAGTGGTTATAGATGACATTAGCCGATCTTCTTGGGCCCAAGTAGTACAAAAATGAAGTCACATACCACCCCCAAATCTTGTTTGTCAGCTATTCCACAGGGTCTCTCAGTCGTTGACGAAAATGTGAAAAAAATGGTCAAACCAACAATATAAAGCTAGAGTAGACTGCGACCAACCCTAAGTCAGCACCATCTTGATCTTCAAATATAGTTCACGCATGTCATTCGGATCGAGGATCTATCGCAAATCAGAGGATAATGAATCACAAAGAAGAGGGTGAGGAAGTTTCCGAAATAAAGCGAAGTCGTTCTCAGTGAGTGTAGTCAGTTCGAAGAAACAATTACAACTTGGAGGCCTGACGTTTCACATGACTAATGAGGGGGATTGGGTCATAAAATTGGGCATTATGACCAAATTGATTAATAATCCACTCGAGATACTGCAGACAACTAGAGATAAATA